GCTGGAGCATTGCTTCCTGTACCCACGGTCTAGCCCTGAACCGCTTCGGCCGCTGCCTCAGAGGAACACTGGGCCTCATCCATGAGCCAGTCTCCTGGGACTCGCCACGGCCCCTCGCCCTACCGTATGGCAGCCTGAGATGCAAACAGCTCCTAGAAAAATGGGCAGGGGTGAGCAGTCAGGATTGGGGTGTCAGACGGAACGGGCTGGCAGAATAAGAGGAGGAAGGCAGTGAAAAGGTGCCAAGAGGAACCTGGAGCCCCTCGGACCGGGAAGAGGTGCACACCCTCACCCACCCAGAGGCTGGGTCCCTCAGACGCAGCCCCCCGCTCCCCAGCGCCGGGCCTCCTCGGGGCTGTCCTTGCGATGATGCTCTGGGCTTGGTGAGCGCCGGAATCCCCAGGCACCTGCGTTCTTTAAGTCTCCGGGTGATGCTGGTGCGTCCCAAGTCTGCCACCCAGTTCCTCCCCCTCCTCATCCTGAGCCCATCCCCTTGGCACCAGCAGGGCGTCCTTCTTTCCCTCTTTTCTGAGTCTTTTGCAATAATAAGGCTTTGGCTTCCAAGGGAAAGAAAAGGACACTTGAATTGCTGTGAGTCATTAAAAAAAAAACAGCCACCGCCCAAACAAACAAAACACACACACACACCACCTGAACAAAGGCGAGTTGTAAGGAGCCTGCAGTGGGCAGTCAGCAGCCGTGGCTGGCGACAGCAGCGCCTTTGTGGGGATGTTTTGTTTAGAAAGCCAGGCCTCACCTTGGACACAATGAATCAGAACCTCCAGAGGGAAGTCCAGGTGTCAACATCTCTCTAAAGCCCCCAAACCTCCCCGATCCTCCCCACTCCCCCCCCACACCTCCCGTCCCCGCCTGACACACTTCCCAATTGCCTTGCTCTGAAAATGCTCCTAATGGCCGTATGCATCTCCAGCTTTGTAGGCAAACAGAATTAAGAAAGCAAATAACGCATAAAAAAACCATACAACACAATCAGATCCAGCCTTTCTGTGTTCTGCCTGCAGGTTTAATTATCTGCGCCTCCTGTTTGTGGTACCCAAAACGTGGTCGACTGCGAAGGCATGATCTGTGTCCAGACAATAACTCACGTGTGTAAAGCACTTTCAGCTTAGAAGCTGTAAGGAGTTTTCAAAAAGAGGGTCTCATTTGCCCAGCTGGCATGGCTCAGTTCCATTCCCGGTCAGGGCACATGCCCAGGTTGTGGGCTCCATCCCCAGCAGGGGGCGTGCAGGAGGCAGCCAGTCAATGATTCTCTCTCATCAGTGATGTTTCTCTCCCTCCCCCTTCCGTGTGTGTGTGTGTGTGTGTGTGTGTGTGTGTGTAAATATCTGTGCTTTCCCATGGTCTTAGGCTCTACAGCAGCGGTTCCCAACCTGTGGGTCTCAACAGATATTTACATAACTATGCATAGCAGTAGCAAAATTACAGTTATGAAGTAGCAACGAAAATAGTTTTATGGTTGGGGGTCACCATGACATGAGGAGCTGTATTAAGGGTCTCGGCATCTCGTCAGTCATCTCTGCCAACCACCCACCGGGGTAGTGCAGCGCCACAGTACGCTTCTCAGGGACACGCTTCCTGGCTCAGCAGAGGGCCAGAGGGGACACGTATTCAGTCACAGCTCTGTGGTCCAAACGTGGAGAAGGAGATCTAAGCCCCGGAGGTGCCAACCATGCCTGTCTGCCTTTGCCAGTCCCTGCCACGTTGGTACAGTAACAAGAACCGTTCAGTGCCTGGGGAGCCCACTTCAGCAAGCCAGCCTATATGAAATGGTGTGTGTGTGTGTGTGTGTGTGTGTGTGTGTGTGCCCATGCCCGACCCACTGAGGTTGCTCCAGGAAGCCACCTCCCCAACAGCTGGCACTCTCAGATGCTCTGTATCACTGGCTGCACAGCCGCAGATATTTTTCCTGCAGACACATGGGGGTGGGGGGGAGCTGAGGGGGAGGCAGTACCCTACCACCTGCTAACGTGCCCTGGAGCCCATCTGGACAGGACTACCAGCCAGGCTCTCTGAGGAGAGCCTCAGACAGAGCCCCCAACACCCACTCCCTTCCCAGCCTCCGCAGACCTGGGCAGCCTCCCCGAGATGCCAGATCCCAGGAGAGGGAGGGGCTGAGGAGAACGCATTTCCCAGGGCAGACGGTGAAGACGCAGAGCACGCCGAGGAGAGCACGGAGCAACAGCGCAGACCGTGTGCTGCCATCTGTTCTTCCGAACACAGAGGACAGGATCGCATTTCCAAACGCACACAGACACGCCCGGAGCCATCTAACCCCACCACGATGGGGAACGGCCTGGCAGAGGACCCGAGACGGCCGGGGCTGCACAGGTCTGAGGCAGGGCGCGTACAGCTAGCGAGTTGATGTGAAACGCACTGCACAATACAGGCAAACGGGGGAAGGGATTATGTTTCAAGATCTAAAAGGGCTGAGACCGGTTTGGCTCAGTGGATAGAGCGTCGGCCTGCGGACTAAAAGGTCCCAAGTTCGATTCTGGTCAAGGCATGTACCTTGGTTGCGAGCACATCCCCGGTAGGGGGTATGCAAGAGGCAGCTGATCGATGATTCTCTCTCATTGATGTTTCTAACTCTCTATCCCTCTCTCTTCCTCTCTGTAAAAAAATAAATAAATAAAAAAGATCTAAAAGGCACTTCATTTGTTTTCCCAAAGAAAGAGAAAAAATCTGGAAGAATACCCACTAAACCAATGAAAATAGTTGGCTGGGGAGAGAATGGGAGCAGGAGAGTCTCAGAGGACTATCACAAGTGACCCCAGTCTGGGTGGAGTACAAACCACAGAAACGTGTTTCTCACGGATCTGCAGACCAAGTCCAACGTCAAACTCTGCCAGATTGGGTGCCTGATGAGGGCCTCCTTCCTGGCTCACTGGCGGTGTCTCCCTGCTGTGTCCTCACATGGCGGCTCTTGTAAAGGGCACTAACCTCACTCATGGGGGCTCCACCCTCATAGCCTTACCACCTGCAGGAGGGCCCCACCTCCCAGTACCGTCACCCTGGGGATTAGGTTGAACATGAATTTTGGAGGGGCACAGTCTATAACAGGAAGGCATTTTCACAGGAATGTTTTATTTGGTAATGAGGTGTTTGCATTGTACTGATGTAATTCTAATAAGATGACTAACAGGAAGGAGGAGAGGCCTTGGGGAAGTATACCCTGCCCTCCTTCCCCACCCCACCCCCTTTAAACTGAAGGTGAAGGCTCCCCGCCTACCACCATCCTCAGCTTCACAGAGAAGCAAAACTGCAAAGATCATCAAATGTCAACATCTTTGACATATTTTTCATCAAAATGTCAACATCAATTGCTGTTCGGTGTCCATTCTGTTTCTCCTTCGGGTCGTCCTTAGGGAGGGACTCTGGTCTGGGGCTGGTCCAGGCCTCACCCCCATCCCGGCCTTTTGCCAGCTGCTTCCCAGGCCATGCAGGGTGCACGCTCCCTGCCCGCCTCCTTCCCCCCTTTCATAAAGACTCCATTTGGCAAAGCCACTGCAAATCCCTGCCAGCTCATTTCCCACTTACTGTTACTGCGGAGCCGCCTCTGCTTTGTTCCCCGATAAATAAATAAAAACCAGCACCAGCCCAGAGAGACGTTTGATGCCACAGTGGCTTCCATGGATAGGCTGTGATGAGTAAGACCCTGAGCCATACTTTGCTTCGGCTCCAAAAGGGAGACAAATAAACCCGAAAGGCTGAGTGAAGGGGACGGGGGTCAGAGGACAGAGTTCCCTGTCAACCATGTCCTTCCCGGACGCCAGGGCCAAAATCTACAAAGATACCCAGGGTCAGCGGCCTGGACAGGCAGTGGGACCAGTGAACGGCCAAGGTCAAGGGCTCCAGCCACCCCTCCGCCCTGCTGGACCCGGCGTGCTCACTTCTCTGAGGGAAGCCACACAGAGGCCAACCACTTCCTCTCGCCCACCCAACCCCCGTGCACTGGGTGCTCGCTGCTGTCTACCAACGGCAGCACATGACAACCGGCTCTAGCCAATGGCCTGTCACAATCTCATGGCCTGGCCTCGACTCTCTCTTTGGGGATCCCAGCCAGACTTCAGGCTGTGGTTCTAACTGTGCTTCTCCTTTTGTTTCTTTCTTTCAATATATTTTTATTGATTTTAGAGAGAGGGACAGAGAGGGAAAGAGAGATCGAAACACCAGTGATGACACAGAATCATGGATCAGCTGCCTCCTGCACGCTCCACCCTGGGGGTTGAGCCTGCAACCCAGGCATGTGCCCTGATCGGGAATCGAACTGTGACCTCCTGGTTCACAGGTCAATGCTCAACCACTGAGCCACCCTGGCCGGGTATTACTGTGCTTCTTTATACACACACTCATTCTCCAGATCCAACCCACCAGCCCTATTACAGTACGCTATCCGATTGTTAAGTTTTGACTTTGCAGCCACTAAAGGGAGTTAGCCTCGGTGACAGGAAGGAGAAATGGAGCTAAGGGGCACACCACCTGTGATTGGCAGAAGTGAGGCCCCCCCCAGCCCCCACCCCCCACCCCCCGCCGCCCTCCCAGAGCCCGGCTGGCCAGCCTTCCCACCTCGTCCTCCTATTCACAAGCCCTGCGGACGCGACGCTGTCACCGGTCTTACGTTATGGCCGGGTGTGTTGTCATCTCCCCGGTGACATCATAAGCCCCTGACGGGTGGGGACCCTGATCCTGGTCCCTCACTACTCCCCGATTGGGGTCCGCTCATACAGGCGGCGCCACACGGGGGATTGTCAGCTGCTCTCTCTATTTATAACGAAGTCTGACATTTGAAATCCGAACTTCGCGAAACGTAACCAAGGGGATGATGAGTCATGTTACCGAGAGCTCATTTCCTTTTAGGGGAAACGTCAGATCCAATTCCCCCACAGAAAAGCCCTAAACGGCCCGCGGCGTCTATTTCGGAACCACGGCTCCCGAGCAGAGGCCGTGGCGGGACGTCGCGTCTCCGGGGCGGTACTCACCAGCTGAGGCATCAGGGCGTCGGCCAGGTAGACGAAGGCAGCGCCGAGGGTGAAGCCCGCAGCCACGGGGAGGAAGGCAAAGGCCCCGAAGTTCCCGGAGGACGTGGCCATCTCCACCGCGGGGGCCAGCAGGGACCAGTAGGAGGCTGCCAGCATGACCTGCAGAACCACAGTGAGCACAGACCGTTAGCCCGGCCAGGTGCCCCCCGAGGCGGCTTTCGCTTGCTCTACACGGCCCAAACTCACCCTGCGATGCCACATGGGGTAGGCCTGTGATCCTCCATGGCCAGCCCCATCCCAAACCAGAAAACCACCTCCAGAACGCCTGGAAGTGGTGCTGGAAGAACTCACCTTGGGGCAGACATGGCATGGGCCTTGGCAGGACCATGTGGTTTGCTGCCATTGAACCTCTATTTCAATGAATCTCAACCAAGGGCAACTTTGCCCTCCAGGTGGCATCGGGCAGTGTCTGGAGACATCTCTGGTTGTCAAACGAGGGACATCTAGTGACTAGATGGCACAGGTGCTTGTAAACATACTGTGTGCACAGCCCCTGGCAACAAAGCCTTCCCTGGCCCCAGTGTCATTGGCACATTGCTCTGTCCTTGCTGAATCCCCCAGGACCCTGACTGTAAGACAGAAGTCTTCCTTATGTTCAGTGGAAACCTCTCTCCCTTCTGTGGTTACCCACTAGCTCTAGGCCTGCTCTCTGGAGCACCAGAGAATGGTCTTTCCTCCCTGAGTGGTGACGGCCTTTGAAATATCTGGGGGCAACCAGTGAGTCGATGCCAGCGTGGTCCCATCAATCTCCCTATCGCTGAAAAGGAAAAAGGGAATGAACATTTTTATTGACTTCAGAGAGGAAAGGAGAGGGAGAGAGGGATTGAAATATCAATGATAAGAATCCTTGATTGGCTGCTTTCTGCACGCCCCCTCCTGGGGACTGAGCCCAAAATCCAGACATGAGCTCTGACCCGGGAATCAAACCGTGGGCCACACTGGCCAGGCAGGAGTGGACATTTATTTTTTTTTTAATATATTTTATTGATATTGTATTTTACAGAGAGGAGGAAGGGAGAGAGCTAGAGAGCTAGAAATGTCGATGAGAGAGAAACATCGACCAGCTGTCTCTTAGACACCCCCTTCTGGGGATGTGCCCGCAACCAATGTACATGCCCTTGACTGGAATCGAACCTGGGACCTTTCAGTCCGCAGACCGACGCTCTACCACTGAGCCAAACCGGTTTTGGCAGGAGTGGACATTTATTGATCACCTACTATTTCCAGGGAGCAAGCCTCACAGTGGAGATCTTCCTTTATTGTCACAAAAACCCTGAGAGACAGGTACTGTTCCCTCTAGCTATTGGTAGATGAAGAAACGGAATCTCGAGGTAGTAAGATAATCTGCCCCAGGTCACAGAGCCAGGAAGTGGCCGGTCCAGGGAGCTCAGCAAGCAAGGACCACGATCACCTCAATGAAGGGACGGACATGAGCGAAGAGGAAAACGAGGATGGAGCCAAATCTCAGTGAGGGCAATGCAACCGAGGAGTCTCCGGCGTTGAGCACCCAGCCGTCTACGCCTATAGGTGCAGCGACACCTCGGCTGGAGTACTCCCACCACCCCTCCCAACGCCTGACAGTCATCACCGACGTGCAAAACGCTGAATGGGTTTCTAAAAGCGACTTAATTATGCCTTGTCTTGAAGAGAGACATCTGCATCATCCGCCTCCCGAAAACCACACGGAGTGACGGCGCCCAGTGCGACCAGAGTGACAATGGAGGACAGATCCCTCCTGCCAGCCTCATCCACACGCGCAGCCCTCGTGCCACTTCCAGAAAACTGCCAGCGTGCCGGGAGCCCCCAAAAGGGAGGAGCCTGTCTTAGCAGGTCAGCTCCCGAGACCACGGGAGGAAGCCGTGGGCTCGTTCTCCGGGCCGCTGCTGCTCCATCCCTCTCTTGGGCTGTGGTCTCACCAGCTTCAGCGCCCCAGCGGCAGCCGCCGTTCATAGTAAACTCCCCACTGAAGACAACCTGCTAGCTACCTCTCTCCTGTGCTGCATGGGAGTGACCCCCGTGCTCTCACACCTCAGCCCAGCCTCTGCCCCAGCCCCATCCATCCCTCACCACCGCCATCCTCCCTCCGCCGGCTGCTTCTACCAAAGCCTGTCTTTCCCAAATTCCTTGCACACGAGCCCCCACATCCAGCCCTGCTTCTGGGGAGGCGGGCTGGAGACCACCTCCCAGGCACCTTTCTCAGAAAGAGACTCAAGGATGCGTTTTCACAGGTAAAAGGGGGTAAAACAAGTGGAGGATGGGAAGAGAAAGGAAGGGAGTCCCGGGGGGAAACGGGGGGAGAGGATGCGGGAGCAACAAGTCACAGGCCAGGAGAGCAGAAGCCCAGAGGGATGAGAGGGACGGGAAGGGGGCTGGAGGGCTCCTAGGGAGGGCGAATGGCAGAGCCCTGAGAGGTCCCGGTGGGGGACAGGAATCCACACTTCTGGTGGGAGACTGGTAACTGGGGTTCCGTGAAAGCGGGGAAAGCAGAGATACCTTTACTAACTCTGGGAAACACAATTGCACAAGAAAGGAAACAAAGAAATGATATTTACAGTCTTAATCATGTAAGCTGTTTTATTAGTTAATTTGATTATTTATTATGGATATTTGTATACACACACATACACACACACACACATCACATACAATTGCCATTTTGAAGCCTACAGTTCAGTGGCATTAGTTACATTCAGAGTGTTGTACGAACATCACTATTTCTTAACCTTTCTCACCACCCCGAACAGAAGCTCAGAAACTGTTAAGCAAGAGCACCCCATCCTCCCCCCCCCCGCCCTCCCCCGGCTCCCGGGAACCTCTAAGCTACTCTCTGTGGTGAGTTCATGTAAGTGGAATCATGGTATCCGTCCCTTTGTGTCTGGATCATCCCGCGGATGAGATGCTTTCGAGGCTGACCCATGTTGTAACGCGTGTCGGGACGTCAGAAAATCACCGGGGACGTCTGCAGCTGAAAGGTCTCGAGGTGGCGAAGTTGTGTCTACAATGGAGGCTTGTGGAGACCAAACGCTGAAGGAACAGTTAAAGCGGCCGCTCCTGTTTATCCCAAGAGGCCAGAACTCTGGCTTCTGTTATAAACCCGGCAGAACCACCTGACTTTTTAAACTATACAAGCATATATCTTTGGGTGAGGGGGAGGGGTGAGGGTTGTTAAATAAACGGATACTATAATTTGAAAATATACAAATATAGATTAGTAAATATTATTGGGAAATTTTAAATACAATTTTTTTAAATATGTATTTTTATTGATTTCAGAAAGGAAGGGACAGGGAGAGACAGACAGAAACACCAATGATGAGAGAGAATCATTGATGGGCTGCCTCCTGCACGCCCAGGCACTGGGAATCGAGCCCACAACCCAGGCAGGTGCCCTTGACCGGAATCGAACCTGAGACCCTTCAGGCTGCAGGCCGACGTTCTACCCGCTGAGCCAAACCGGCTAGGGCTGTACTGTAACTTTTAAATGGTTACAAGACGCTGATTTCACAGTGAAAATTCAAAGGGGGAAACGCTGCCACGTACAAGAACTCAATTTCCAGAAACGTTTCTGCCTGATAATGAGACAGCCACCTGAACGGCGTGCTTTCCGGTTTTCGTTTGTTTGTAGCTGTTCTTTTAATTCTTTATGATTGAAAGTATGAACATTTCTCCTTTTCCCACCATTGACCTCTCCCAGACCGCTCCCGCCCCACAGCACAAGCCCGCACCGAATGGTGTGTTTTTTGTAAATCTGCCTAAATCGCAGCCGAGACACCAGAATACCGAAAGGGACTGGAGGAGACACTTAAAATCAGCAGACATTTGAAAACTCTGAGAGAAAATCCCCCATTTCCCTTCGGCAACTCCCCAAACCTAGCACAACTCATATGCTCCCTTTTCTCAAAATATCGTGCAAAATACCACAGGGATCCATACTTTAAAATGCTATTAACTTCCCTCTGGGGTCAGAGGTACCAGCACAGAACATTCAGAGCCGATCAGCGAACTCCCTAGCCCATGGCACGCAAAGCTCCTCATTTCTGCTGAAGTGCTCACTCTGGGGCGATTTCAGCTCTGCAAATACAAATGAATTGGTGAAGGGTTCCTTGAGGAATACATCCTAATGTTCGCGCACCAGGGGGGCAGTTAAGCATTTCTTTTATGATAGTCATGACGGCATAAAAGCAGAAAACCCAAGCCACAAAACAAAATTTCCCTCCTGATAAAACGGGGAGAGAAAAGCACTGCGCTCTGATCACTGGCAACGCACTGAGCATCAGTACCCGTGCCTCAATGCCACCGTCTCTGCAGCCAAGGTGCGAGCCAGTCTCCAGAGACAGGAGCACGGAGTTCAAATCAGCAGCACCCAACTCGGGCTGCCTGGGCAGGTGCTCCGTCAATGTTGGTTGAAGCAAATGGCCGCGGACTCTACCCCCAAGGCCACTGTATACTTGGGAGGAGGCGCACACTTGCAATCCATACAAATCAAGGCAGTAATTACTCCAAGTACAGAAGCCAAGTAATGTATCTAATTTGGCCTCCAAATCAGATGTAAAATTAACTTGTTGGAGTCAATTAATAGGAAGCGAATTTGTGACTACTGCACGGTCAACATGATGCTGCATTCTAGGGGGAGGAGAGGGAGGAAGAGGGATACAGAGGCTGATCTGGGCCTGGCTGTCCACCATGACGAGAGAGACTATAGAGATGTGTGATGTGACCAACAGAGAAGGCACCGGAAGCCACGGATGAGAAGGGCCGTGGTCATTCCACGTAAGGCGATGGCAACGCTGCGAAAAAAGAACATGGGTGAAAACCCAGGAAAGAGCTCTTGACAGCTGCACGGGATCCGGAAGGAAAGGAGCCAAGAGTCAGGCCATTCTTAAATGCTAGGTGCCTGCAGTGTTAGACAAGCATGGAAATCCTGTGCAAAAGGACCTCAGCAGCCACTGTCAGTGGCCACTGACAGCGGGTCGTGGCTGGTGAGGCCCCCGACTGCACTAAGTTCCCTGAAGAAAGGACCATCACCCAAGACATATCCAGGCTTCAGACACAGACTGACCAACAAGCGAATTCTGACTCCTTCTGTGAAAACCAAGGAA